ACAAAAAACAGATACCAGCTAGAATAAAGGCAATCCTAGGGCTCAGAGACAGTACTAGTGAGATCCCTAACTCAAACTGCTAAGATAATCCATTTTTATAACTGGGATGACACAGTTTTACAAGGTTTATTCTCACAAAACTATGCTTTGGGGTACTTTATCCAATCCCTGAGGTTTCAGACTGATAAGCTGGCAAGAATCCAATTTTTAACAGTCACATGCAATTATGATTATATGATGGAAAAACATTGAGTTTCTGGGTGACTTATAAAGATAGTGATTATTTCATTTGTGTGCATATTTGGCTAAGCAAATTTAGCTAAGAGTGAAATATCAATTTAAGTAGATGATGAGTGACGTAACTGAGCCAAGACCCCGACAGAGTAGAGCTTTAAAAAGATAATTATTACTCAGTTTCATAGCACTGGTGAAACCCATGTAATCTATAGATAAAAGTCAGGAAAGAGTTAAATGCCATGAGACCCTCCCCTGCCCCTACTCCTCTCACACCAATGACTGTTTATAATGAGACCAGAATTTTTGGCTACAGCCCCAACACCGAAGCATTGTTTGATGAGAAGACATAGTAAACAGCTATAAAGTTGAAGGATTCCTCCTGAGGAAGGAAAGTTTTCTGAGCATAGCCTTGAAGTTATCTTTCCCATCTAAAACCAAGACATCCATGAACCTCCTTCCTCTGAAATAAGGGAGGAGGCTCACAAATGCAACCAAACAGATTTTGAAAAGACATGTGAGTCTCTTTGCAAAGGCATTAGCAGAAAGCCTACATCAGAGGAGTACAACTCCATAGCATTTCCTGCTATTGTATATGTTGTATAACAGAAATTTATTATTAAGTCTGTGAGGAAACCCTTTAAAATTCATAAATTCTGAGCAATTCTGAGTAGAAAGCAAGAATGCTCTTTAATGGAAATATCAGCTCTGATAAGAACAGTAATTTCAGGTGAGACCATGTGTGTGTACCAGAAAGGGTCACCAGCTCCTTCTTTTCAGATCATTCATAAATTCTTGCTTATCGGGCTCCAAACCAGGACGACATTTCCACTCACTAACCCAAGGCTGAATGGGAGACTAGTCCTTCAACTAAGATCAAGCACGCCCTTACAGGGGGCAATTTAAAGGCTTCATCCAGGATTTGTATTACTAAGAGAGCAGCCAGTAGGAGAGGTATGACCAGGCAATGGCTCAGTTCTGACTCTTGGCAGGTCTAAGCAGGCATCATTTGAAATGTTGGAGGGCGGTCCATGGGCAGAAGAGAAGGGCCTTCAGCATGGACATGTGCTGTCCACTGCATAACCCTAGGGGGGCACCATTTACCTACACCACCATATGACTGATGTGTGACATATTGAGCAATGTCAGATTTGCAAATTATGGGAGGCAGATAGAAAAATGTTTCTCTTCCACATAAGTTTAATTCAAAAGAATTAACTCTTAAGCTGGGCGTGGTTGGCTCATGCCTATAATCCTAGCACTTTGGGAGTCCGAGGCAAGAGAATCGCTTGAGCCCCGGAGTTCAGTTCAAGACCAGCCTGGGCAACATACAGAGACCCCATCTCTACCAAAAATAAGAAAAAATAGCCCAGCATGGTGGCGCATGCCTGTAGTCCCAGCACTTCAGAGGGCTGACACAGGAGGATCGCTTGAGCCCAGGAGTTTTAGGTTGCAGTGAACTGTGATGATGCCACTGCACTCTAGCCTAGGCAAAAGAACAAGACCTTGTCTCAAAAAACAAACTAACAAACAAATTAATTAACTTGAGGAGGTAGTACTATAATCCCCGATTTACAGGTGAGGAAACAGAAGCACTGAAAGGTATCAAGAAAAACTAGTCTCTGAAAGTTTATCTCCCTCTACCCACCTACCCCCAAGTAATCCCTTTTCTCAGTGCCCAAGATGACTGTCCCCTCTCCATCTCCAGGAAGACACTCAACCTACACCCACCATCCAGGCCCTCGAAACAATATCTCATATTTTATATTTCATCCTTCCTTCCACTTCCCAATCCTGGTCTCCAGCTGCTTTCCAAGACTAATAGCTAATTATCTAATTCAAAAGAAGTCTCTACGTAAGTATAAGTGAGTGATAATTATTAGGCTTTAAAAAATGTCTGTATCTTTTTCCACTTTGTCCTTTTCCCCAAATTTTTCTTTTTCTGTAAATTAATTGATAAACTCAATCAATAACCAGATAAATGGATGGATAGATACATTCTGTTATAAACTAAATGTGTCCCTTCAAAATCCACATGTTAAGCCCTAACCCCCAATGTGACTGTGTGTGGAGATAGGGCCTTTAGAGAGGTAATTAAAGTAAACTAATGTTGTAAGGAAGAATAGGGTCCTAATTTTATGGGACTGCTGTCTTATAAGAAGAGGAAGAGAAACCAAAGTGCACTTATGTGCTCTCTCTCTTGATCTTTATCTTTCTCTCTTTCCCTGTATGCACAGAGAAGAGCCTGGGAAGAAAAGCCTCAGCAGAAACCAGCCCTGACAGCACCTTGATCTTTAACTTCCAGCTTCCCGGCCTGTGAGAAAATAAATTTCTGTTGTATAAGCTAGCGATCCCTGAACTTTTTGGCACCAGGGGCCGGTTTTGTAGAAGACAGTTTTTTCACAGTGGCGGGGTGGGGAGGTGTTGGCGGTGCTCTGCGGCCCCGTCCCTAACAGGCCACAGACCGGTACCAGTCCACGGCCTGGGGGTTGGGGACCACAGGTTTAAGCCACCTAGTGTATGATGTTTTGCTAAGGCCACTGGAGCAGATGAATACAGATACTTTATTGGACATACCATGTTCTAGACATTGTTTGTGAGTAGAATGTACTGAGTGAATCTTATATTGCCGAGAATGCTGTAGTCAAAAGAGTACTAGACAGTTGTCAAAAAACTCAGGTGTGATCACGTTCCAGCTCTGCCTCTTCCTGTATGTGTAAACCTGACAGTTACTTCACACCATGAGTCTTAGCTCCCTCATCTGTAAAAGACTAGATTCTTTTTCAAGGCCCTCACAGCTTCAAAATTCTAATTATAAATATCCAGGTAATGTCAGTGGATATAAATTACTACACATCACGCATTATTAGTCTTTCTTAGAAAGAACTGTAGATCTAGCTGTGCACATTAAAAGAGTTGAAGCCCCACCCAATAACAAGAAAAATCATTTCCGTACTTCTGTGCTTTGTATACGTGGATACATCTCAGTGTGCCAAGGAGTATGAGAAACCACAATATAAATAGGGCTCCTTTCCAAGGAGTGTCAATTTGATAAATATCTTGAGAGAAGAAAATGTGGCCATAAAGAAAATAATGCAAAATTTCCATAAAACTTTTCGTTAAAACATGGCACTCTGGAGAAAGTTCTGGCTTCTTGTGGGCATCTTTGCTTATCCACTCAATCTCTGTGATTTACTTTCTGTCTCATTGTCAGTATTTTGACAGAGAAAATGTGAAGTACTGCAACAGATAAATCTTACTAATTAGAACAAGACCTAATTTAAATATGGTTTCAGATTTATTGGCAAGTACATTGTATTCACAAATGGATTGATAGAAAAAAATTATTCTACAGCCACACCACTAGCCCCAAACAGGCAACTCTCAAAAGCATACAATTAATCAAAAAGAAAGCAGTATGGGAATTGTGGTCAGCTCAGGGAGAACTGAATATAACTGAATATAACTCAAAGCCCAACTCTTCAGTAAGACCGTTGTAGGGACAGCTGTGGTATTGAAGGTGCCAGTTTACATCTCCTTTTTTTGTTTCCCTTTGGTCCGGGTAAGACTGTCAAACAAGACCTGCTGTCTTGCCTTAGCCCCAGGGCAAAGTGTGACTTAAGCTGAGCCAATCAGCCTCTCCCTCCCAGTATATGAATCTTGAGAGGAGGGAAGCTGACACTGAAAGTAGAGCCAGACATTTCATTCTGGGAGGAGGAGAACCCTGATGAAGCTGAGGGTCTCCATTATGTCCTTCTTCCTGGGACCCTGGAGCTGTTCTGACTCCTGTCCTTTCTAGGTTCTTCATCTTTTCCTTTGACCCTGTGGGAGAGCCCAAGTCCTTCCAGTAACTTCTTTGATGCTTAAGCCACTGAGAGTTAGTTTTCATTGTTTGTAGCCCAAAGCCTGCAGTGAAGCCTATGGCACCAGCTTCACATACAAAAATCGTCACTTCTTTTTTGATAAAATGAACTATGCCATTTGCACGAAGTTAGTCATATAGTGATTTTTATTTGGCATTATGATTTGCTTAGGTTTCAGTATAAAGCACAAACAAATTACCTTTAAAAAGGAAGGACTCTTACATCTTCTTACTATTGTTCTTTTCTGTTTTCCTCCCCACCTCGACTTATCTAAACCCTCATTTCATTCTTAAAACAAAAAACAAAAACAAAAACCACTTACAAGGAGAGTTCTGCTTATCTCAATGTACAGTATATTTCTGCTTAAGAAACTGAACATTAAAAAAAACATTTTCTAAACTATAAACAAAGCTCATCCTTAATCTATTTCATAATCATAATAATCATCATCCATGTTGATTCTGACACTGGAAGGGTCTTCAGGTTTTAATTTCTTTTTGGTCTCTTTGCTTTTCTCGGTCAGACGTAAGTGATGCTCACATTGCCTCATGATCTTCTTGGAAGACATCCAGCTCTCCCCTTGCCGTTCAGCTGGTGCTGCACATTGTCCTCCCCTCACATCTGTGCCCTTGGCCTTCAGGATCTCCCTCGCTCTTAGGAGGCTGCAGGTGCAATTCCACGGATTTCCATCCAGGTACAGGTGCCTAAGGCGAGGCAGACCCTCCAAGGCTTTCAGATCTAAGGCAGAGATCTTGTTGTTCCTAAGGTTTAGAACCTGAAGCTGCTTGAGATCCTTGAGCTCTTTCTCTGCAATATCCCGGATGGCATTGCCTTTTAGGTCCAGCCTGGCTAAGGTCCCTGGGAGCCTGCAAAACATGGAAATAGGATAGGAGAGAGGTCATGCCCATTGTTCCACAACTGCCAGGGCAACAAAAACTGAGCAGCACTGCCTTTTCTGTACAGTTCTCTCCCTCCTCAAGCTAGGAAACAAGCTTCATTTGAGAAAATTAATTATAAACACAAACCTCAATCTTACTCTGTAGGTCTTCAACTCTCTCATAGGTCTTACTGTCTAACCCTCTGATTTTTCTGATGCCTATTCATAAAGCTCTTTAATTCTTTTCTTATGAAATGATATCACTCAACCAAACAGATAAGAAAAACACTGTGCTGAGTACAGTGGTTCGTGCCTGTAATCCCAGCACTTTGGGAGGTCAAGGCAGGAGGATTGTTAGGGCCAGGAGTTCAAAACTAGCCTAGGCAACATGGCAAGACCCTGTCTCTACAAAAAATAATAAAACATTAGCTAGGCGTGGTGGAGAGCACCTGTAGTCCCAGCTACTCAAAAGGCTAAGGCAGGAGGATCACTTGAGCCCAGGAGTTCAACGCTGCAGTGAGCTGTGGTGGTGCCACTGCTCTGTAGCCTGGCGACAGAGCAAGATCCTGTCTCTTTAATAAAGAAGACAACAAAAACACTAAGTTCCAAATATTTAAGTTGGCAAAGGCCATAAATCAATAATTTATAGGAGGAGAAGTAAAAATGTCAAATAAAATGAAAAAATATTATTCTTCAGGAATATATTAATAAAAGCAAATGAAAAAATAATGCAATGTTTTAATGTATCAAATTAAAACATGGTTTGGTTTTAAATTTTAAAACTTATTGCTGCTGAGGGTAGAGTGAGTAACAGCTGTTGGTGGGAGTGTGTACTGGTACCATTTTGGAAAGAATTTAATAAGTTGTATAAAATTTAAATGACATGCTTTTTGATATAAATAATAGGAAAAGTGAATAGAGATTTATTTACAAATATGTTTGTCACATGTTTGATGATAACAGCAAAAAAACTATAAAGACTCAATAATTTGGAAATTATGAGATAATGAACTCTTATATGATTATAAAAATCATGTTTTCAAATAACTTAAAAAATACTAATTCTATAAAAAAGCTTTTCTAACTATGACACAAAAATCCAGAAGCTACAAAAGACTGATAAATCAACTACATTAAAAAGAATAAAAGAAGAAATTGTGTATAGCAAAAGACATATGCAAAGTCAAAAGACCAATAATAAACTGGGGGAAAATACAGTATCTGCATCTTATATCACAAAGAGCTAACCTTTCTAATATGTAAAGAGCCCTCAAAAATTGAGAAGAAAAATTTGAAAATAAAACAGAAAAATGGTCAAAAAGCATGAATGGAAGTTCATATCAAAAGAAAAGCAAAGAGCATTTAAGTTTTTGACCTTACTCAAAATAGAAAAATGAAAATTAAAATTGCACAGAGATGCTATTTCTCCCCTATCGGAGTGGTAAAAATCCTAAGCCTTAGCAATTCATTCTGTGGGCAAAGCTGTGAAGAAACAGATATTCTCATACATTGCTGGTAGAAGTCTAAAATGGCAGAGCCCCTAAGGAGGAGAATTTAGCAAAGCCTAACAAAATAACAAAGATATGACTCTACCAATATAAATGGTATATGTGGCATTTATGACGGTATTACTTATAATAGCAAAAGATTGGCAACAACACAGTACATTAGTAAAAAACTACAATGCAGCCTTAAAAAATAAAGAGGCTGCTGTCTATGAATTACCATAAAAATAATTTCCAGAAAGTATTGTTAAAGTGAAAAAAAGCAAGGAGCAGAAAGAATAGTATATATAGTATGCTAGTTTTTGTCTAAGAAAGGGGGAAATAAGAATTAGATATACACATATTTCCTTGTTTTTGAGGAAAAAAAAAGAATGATAAACCAGAAGTGAATAAAAATAGTTACTTATAGGGAATAGTCAGTTCCATGTGGTTTTAACTTTTGCACCATGTTAATGTTTTACATGTTCACAAAAAGGAAAACCAAAGCCTTAAAATTGAACACAAGCAGAAACAAAGAAATCTAATTAATCAACAAATACCGTATGATTCCACGTATATGAAATATCTAGAATAGTGAAATTAATAGAAACAGAAAGTCAGAAAGCAGAACAGTGAGTGTCAGGGGCTGGGCAAAGGGGAAAATGGCAAGTTGTTTAATAAACATAGAATTTTAGTTCTGCAAAATGAAAAAGTTCTGGAGATTGGTTGCACAACAATGTGAATATACTTAACATCACTGAAATGTACACTTAAAAATGATTGAGATGATAAATTTTATGTAATGTTTAGTTTACCACAATTTTAAAAAAAAGATAAATGAAGTCATATCTCATGAATACAAGAACCAGCCTGTAGCTCCCATTAGCCAAATTTGTCAGAATTTGAGTATCAAAAGAGACTAGCAACTCTAATGATCATAACACACTGAATAAATTATAATCCATGAGTCCATAATGATACTTGGAAAAAACAGAGAGAAAAGGGGAAGGGGAAAAGAAAAAATACTCCATAATTTTAAGTAGAAAAAAATAGAATAAAAATCGAATGAACCCAAATACGTAAAAACAAACTATGTGCTTAAAACAGACAAAGGCTGTGGTTGAGCAATTATGGATGAGTTTTTATTTTTCAGCATATGCCAATTTGAAAAATGTTATGCTAATGCCTGCTGATAAAAGAATACAAAAGAATCACAGTAGTGAACCTGAAAATCTTTCTGCTACAAAGAAACTTTGTAGTAAATACTTCTATTTTTATGAAATACAAGAAAATTTTATATGGGAAAAAAAGCCCTTCAAATTGAAATAACATCCAAATGCTACTCTAACACAGTGTAAACACACTGGCTATATGTTTATGAATTTTAGTATTCAGTGAAATTTATTCTGGCATTCCCAGTTATATGACTGTTATATCAAAGAGAGAAAACAAACCAGTGTAGCCATATTTTATGGCAGTATTACCTTTTGCTTGTTATAGCATTATTCTTATATGAATTTCATTCCAAAAAGTTAGTACTTTAGGTTTGAGGCATTTACCCTAAATTTTATCCTTAGGTTTTTCTTTTTTTAACTAAAATAGTCATTTTATATTTGGATTAATACTAAATGACGCAGTTGTATATATACACAAGTATTTGGTTAAAGCCTAAATCATTTAAAGTGTCTTCGTTTGCCTGGCTAGCTCAGTTGGTAGAGCATGAGACTCTTAAAGTGCCTTCTTAGAATAAAATTTACCTAACAAAGTATTAATGGATTAGTTTACCAGTAAAAACCACTTCACACATTTTAGCAGCTTAATAATTAAATTCAGTTTGAAGTTAATTTCCAAGAAAATATAATTTTGTGCACATACCAGCTTATCTAAGGTGAATTTCTAAACAGTATACAGAAAATCTCTTTTCTTTCCCCAAGGAAAGATAGGCTATTATTAATAATAGACTATGTGGCAGCAAGCAATACTCTGTTCCAATTGCAGAGGACAACAGAGCCCGACAGTGGAGAGATTTCGTAGAGTAAACTGAAGAGTCAAAAAGTCCCTGCTTGGCCAGGTGCGGTGGCTCATTCCTGTAATCCCAGCACTCTGGGAGGCCAAGGCGGAAGGATCGCTTGAGGTTAGGAGTTCAAGATCCACCTGAGCAAGAGTGAGACCTGTCTCTACTAAAAACAGAAAAATTAACTGAGTGTTGAGGCTGAGGCAGGAGGATCGCTTGAGCCCACGAGTTTGAGGTTGCTGAGAGCTAGGCTGATGCCACAGCACTCTACTCAGGGCAACAGAGTGAGACTCTGTCTCAAAAAAAAGAAAAAAAATCCCTGCTTATTAAATTTTGCATTCTAACTCAGGCCATTCTATTTAGCGGTATGTGACTTCAGGTAAGTTCTTTCTCCTCTGAAAGCTTCTGATTTTCCACCCTGCAGTTGGAAATGTTCAGTACACAGAAGTCACATAACAAATGTTAGACAATGAAAATGAACAAACCAGGTTTTCTTTTAAACAAACACAATTATTCAGTTCTAGGCTGAGTACCCAAAAATTGTGCCTGTTCTTAGGTTTGCCTTTTTCCCCCCTTTCTTGTTTCTGTGGAAGGTATAACCTAATGACATTGTAAGAGAAATCACTAATTATCCTAGTTTTGTGACCTTTTGACAGTCACTGATTTCATGCATATGATTTGTCTTTATATGTCTGATTTATATAAAAAGGTAGCCGTGGTTTTAAGCCAAACATGTTTCAAGAAATGCTACCATGTTCCTTGAATAATTATCACTATTTAGAGTAAAAAGGGGTATAGCCCATTTTGCCAGTAGATGGCCCTTGCATCTAAGATAAAATGCTAACCGCATTAGGTTGTAGAAAGCTATTCTGAATTTGAATTATCCAGAGTAGATAAGGAAGAGAGAATCTAAATTACATTTGTTCACTAAGCTGCAGACTGGTGAAATGTGAAGCAGCAAAAAGTAAGGACCAGCTCTTACACCTTCTAAGTTCTAAGTAGTATAGTGTATGGTATTTTGAATAAATGTGTAGAATAAATCTCAAAGGCAGGATCTTGCAGTGGCTAAAATTGCCTGGCTCTGGAGTTAGACTACTGTGTTTAATTCCTGACTCCACCATTTACTGATGATGTCAAGTTTCTAAATACCTCTAAGCCTTCATGTCCTAGTCTGTGAATTAACAGGTAAAACAATGTACCCACCTTCACAGGATTGTTGTATGGAGTAATAAGGAATAATGAATATATCTAAGTTCACTGCTGGTCTTAGTAAGCACTTAATAAATGTTAGGAATTATTTTCTATCTCATTAGTCTAATGAGGCAGATGTAGTAGGTATTTGAATATATGTGTACCTAAAACCATGTACATTATTTTCTTAATAAAATGTACAATGGAGGATGGTAGATAAACGAAGGGATTTGTGGAAACACCGTTTGTGATAGGAACAGGTTGCCTATGTTTACAGTGTATTTATAGAAAACTGAACTTTACAGTGTAAATATTATATATGAATAAGAAGCATGAAAATTTAAAAGGTGCACTATTTAAAGCTCAGAAAGAAAGGTTTAAAAATTCAAATATAAAGAATAGATATTGCGTTTTAATTCTTTATGGGAGGAAAACCAGAAACTTTTCTGGGTCATTCCCATTTTCCAATACAAAAAAAAAAAAAAAAAGCTGAGGACTGGGGGTGGTGGTGATAGGGGTACTTAAAAATTACAAGAACTTTGCTATCAGAGCTGGCCAAGTGCTTTGGCTGAGCAGATAGATGTGTTGCATAATTCCAGCCTCAGAAGAAAAGGCCACTCCCACCTCAACATCACTTGCCTTGTCCTTGCCCGGTAGTTCTCAACTCTAGCTGCACATTAAATTCATCTGGGGAGTTTTTCAAAAATACTGATCCCTGGCCCTCAACCCTGGGGCATCTGATTTAGTTGGTTTGAAATGAGGCCTGGGCATGGTATGCTTTATTATACTTCTGCAGATAATTCTAATGTGAAGCCAGATTTGAGAGCTATGGCTAGCTAGCTGATGCTTGCAATTCCATTATACACTCCATTGGGTAAAAGCTCTCTTTAGTCGCTTGTTATTATAAAACACAAATACTCTGCCAGGAGTAAATAATTAATCTATTTTTCACTTATCAAACTTAGCAGGATTATTTAACCAAATGCTTTTTAAAAGTCATGTTAGTAGAAAAGTCAACCAAGGTCACAACTTTGTCCATGGCTGTCATAGCCTACTGTCATATCCTTATATGATATAGTCACTCCCTAACTTGTTTTATGAGTGTTTATTTTATACATTATATTTTTCTTGGAGTAGGGGAATTCAGTAATAGAAAATAGACTTGAAACATAGTAGAGAAGTTATTTAAATAACAAGTATTAGAGTCTTGAAACACTTCAGGCACGTTCTTGCCTGAAGGCCTTTGTATGGGCTGTTCTTTTGTCTAGAAAACTGTTTCCCACAAGTATCTTCATAACTAAATCCCTCACTTCCTTCAAGTCTTTGCCCAAAGCTTACCTTTTCATGGGTACCATGTTTACCCTATTTAAAACTGCAGCTAGCCACCCCACCCTCTATACTCTTGAACCTGGTAGTCATGCCCTTTTATATTGTTAATCATAACACCTAACACAGTATAAATATTATATACTTTTCTTTGTATATTATCTTTATTGTCAGTCTTCCCCTTCTAGAATTAAAGCTATATAGTACAGCAAGTTTTATCTCTTTTAATACATTTATGTATCGCAAGTGCCTGGTAAAGTACCTGGCACATAGTAAGTGTAAGTACTCAAAACATATTTGCTAAATTAAATTAATGTATGTACATGCTTCTGTATTAAAAGAAATTTATTACTTTCAAGTCACCATCAATATGTATACTTAAAATACTGATTTCTGTTGGAAGAAATCACTTTTTGATGTTTTGCATTGGATACAGTTACCATACTATATAATAAAAAATACCTTTTCAACTAGAAAAAAAAGAACATCTATACCTATCAAAGATATTTTTTCCCTTTCTCATTGATAAAAAACTATTATAACAATGAAATTAGGTAAATAGAGTACGATAGGATTCTATAGAAGCCAGAAGTTGGTATATTAATTGTAAGAAATTTGGTAATGCTAATAGAGCAAGAAGCCACTTTTTTCCAATAAAGTGCTGAAAGGAAAAAGAATCCATTTATAGACACATATGATAAACAATATAATATCTTTTTAAATAGAATAATAGTGTTTTATTCTTCTACTTTTTATTACTTTAAAATATAGACAAGAAATAAAATTTAAATAAATTAGATCAATTAATGCAAACATGTACATTAGTTATAGATTATGAATAGTTAGGGGGAACAGGTACAGTGGGTTGGGCATAGAGGGAGGGATATTTGGAAAGAGAAATTGTCAGAGTGTGGGGGTGTGTGAGAGAGAGAGAGAATGAGAACTGAAGAGATAACCAAAAGCAGAAGGTAAGAGAAACATAGACTCATCCTCTCATACAGACAGACACACAGATAAATAAACAGAGCAGCTCTTAAGCCCTTTAAAACTCAGCACTGAGAAGACTATGAGGCTCCCCGATTGTAAAACAAAATAAATACAATATTACATTATAAAGCTTTGGTTTTTTTTCCCCATAACTACTACTTCAATGCTTTTAAAATATAAACATCTTAATGTATTTTTCCCTTCATTTTTCCTGATGTCCTTGGCTTTGCTAGAGGCTAAGCTCATGTCTAGTTTGCCTATTGGGTATCTAGGCCATATACATACTTATAAACTGAGATACACTTTTTACAATATCTTCATATTATGTTTGTTAATATAGATATCACCTGTTGGTGTCTTGTCCCATACGCAAGATAAATTAAGTTAGTGCAGGACTCTGAGGGCTGGAGATTCCAAACTTCTGCTTAAAACTTTTATCCCTAAACCTTTGTATAGCCCCGATCAGATCATTTATGTTTGTTTGCTCTCACTAATTTTCTTGCTTGCATAATTTCTGAATTGTCTCAATCTTTGGAAAATGTTTATGGTAGCTGTAATAAATCATAACACTCCCTTACCTTAGGGGTATGGACAACAGCAGGTTCTGCTCCAGGGCCAGGTTGGAGAGCTGAGAACACCTCTGAAGGGCTCCAGCTTCAAACCAGCTAATAATGTTGTTGTCCAGGAACAAATGCTTCAAGTCTCTGAGGTCCCGGAATTCTTGTGCTGTAACTCTCTGAATCAGATTATTGCTACAATCGAGCTTTTGTAACCTTGCTGGTAGTCTCAGGGGCAACATTTGAAGCTGGTTTTGGGACAATTCAAGCGTGGTTAAATTGGCAAGGATCTGTGCCCCATCAATGGAAGAAAGTAAGTTTTCTGACAGGTAAAGATGGGAAAGATTCTCCAAGTGTTTCATATCTCGAAACCTTACCACTTTAAGCTGGTTTCTCTCCATCTTTAAAGATAGCAAGGATTTGGGTAGATTAATAGGAATTTTAGTCAGAAAGTTACCACTGAAACTGAGAAATTGCAAAGACTGTAGAGAATTAAAGAAGCTACCTGGTATAACATGTAGTTTATTATTCTCCATGCTCATATGTTTCAGATGGGGAAGTGTCAGGGGTCCAGCTACAGACTCCATATTGTTACCATCCAACATTAAACTTTGCAAACTGACGAGGGAAGAGAGCATGCTGGGAGAGAGCGAAGAGATCCAGTTGTTTTTAAGTTCAAGGACTTTTAATTTCTTCAGTCCTTCAAAATCTGATCCATATAGGATGTTTATTGAATTATCATTTAGATTTAATACTTCCAGACTGGCTGGGAGAGCACTGGGGACTCGTCTTAACTTATTTTTCCAGAGTTCCAAGGTCTTCAAGGTACTCAGAGTTTTGAAGGTATCATTTTCTACCGACTCTGTTCCACTGGCCAACAGAATAAAATCTTCTAGAGCCAACCCTGGAGTGAAGTTAGGGAGCTACAAAAAAGGTTGGGGCAGGGAAGGGGAAGAACAGCAATAAATTAAGATTGTTATGAAAAAAATACCATATACATTATCATTAAAATACTAATGATACTTCAGATTTCCCTTCGGGTTCTATTTAAAATTATCTCTTGAAAAAGGATTGAAACTTAGGTCCTGACTACTTTTATTTATGATTGCTAACACCAGTGTAAGATACCAAAAATATTCTAAGCACTTTCACACACTATTGATAAACATAGTTGGCCAACATTTGTTGGCCAACTTTCACCACATATTCACTGACCCAGAACATTCACTTCTAGGCAATTGCTTAAAAATTGCCCAATTCACACACTAGAATGTTCTTTGGTGTATCACCTTATAATAGCCAAAAATTCAAACGATCTGGAAATCTTTCAGTTTCTAATTCTAGGGAGTAAGATTCCAAGGGATTTTCACTATCTAGCTACATTTTGCATTGTTTGGGTTTTTTAAGTTAAAAATATTTGCACTTTTCAAAAATCATTAAAAGTAAAAAATTTTAAATGTCCTAGAGTCTGCTATCACTAGGATGCACTTACCTCAGAAACATTTTCAACTATATTAAATTTTGGCAAATGAGCCTACCTGTTCCCTATTCCCAATTTGCACTTCACCAATAAAAAAAAAAAATTCATAAAGAAACAAATGTATACATGTGTCTCCCTCTATCTCTGTAGAGCAAAGAGTTCTTTCATAAGTATATCCCAGACCTAATGCTACTCTTCTCCTAGCATTTACCTAAATTCTAATGTGATATACTTTCTTCATGTTTTGTAAGTTCTCCTAACTCTCCACGTCTACCAACGTCCTTACTTGACACCCACCTCTTTTTCTTGATGATGTAATCATTTGTATGTGGTTCTAGGAATAAGGTTACATTTAGGCAGAAAGAGGGAAGTTGTTCCATGTTTTCTTCAGGTAGATAAATCTTCACAAAATTTTCAACCTGCTTTAGAATTCAATTAAACCAGAATTTTCAGTGTATAATTTTATATATCTTACTACCTATAGTTTCTAAATATTTGACTTGATTATGCTATTGAGCCCTTTTATAATACCAGTGCATGATTAATACCTTCTAATGAGTTGATTTTGCATCACATATTTATTATAGGTACTTATATTCTGGGAGGATGTGGGATATGAATTATAGTATATTTTAAAACATCCAATATGTTATTCTGTTAGGAGAATCCCAAGTTTAAATTTCCATAAATAAATGTTTTTAATCATAATAGTTTTGGTAGCTGCCTTGGGTTATATATTGCTCCTAACATTTGATATTTTCTTAATGATTTATCAGTTGTATTGATTAGTCCTAATCCCAATAACAAGAGCGATTTTATTCTTGCGTTTGTTGAGTATTTGCAAGTGCCAAGTGCTTTTTTATATGTTATCATCAATCTCCTAGAAAGCCTGAAAGTTTACTGTTATCAACACTGCCTTCTAGGTGGAGAAACCAGAATCTAGAAAGTGAAAGAGTTGAGAATTTCAACGATGTCTATCGAACTCCAAAGCCCTTCATTCCTCAGCTATACCATCTTCTAATACATTTTCTTTTTTTTTTTTTTTTTTTTTGAGACAGAGTCTCACTGTGTTGCCCAGGCTAGAGTGCCGTGGCGTCATCCTCGCTCACAGCAACCTCAAACTCCTGGGCTCAAGCGATCCTCCTGTCTCAGCCTCCCGAGTAGCTGGGACTACAGGCATGCACCACCATGCCCGGCTAATTTTTTCTACATATTTTTAGTTGTCCAATTAATTTCTTTCTATTTTTAGTAGAGACGGGGTCTCGCTCTTGCTCAGGTTGGTTTCGAACTCCTGAGCTCAGACAATCCGCCTGCCTCGGCCTCCCAGAGAGCTAGGATTACAGGCGTGAGCCACTGCACCCGGCCTCTAATACATTTTCTATTGTATTTGGCCTACAATTAATGTTTTTCAAGAAAGACTCAAGATCTGGACACAAATCATAGAGTTTCAGATAAGCAGATATTTTAGAGATTATCTAATCCAAATATCCCATTTCAAGGATGAAGAATTTCAGGTCAAAAACAGTTAAATGACCTGCCTAAGACTCTGTTCTTTAATTTTTGCTCTACTGTAAAGTGCCTTTTCTTAGTGTATAGTTCATGTAAAGTCAGAAATGACTCTAGACATAGATATTTACTTCTTGTACTGTTGAGCTCTCAACAGAAGAACTTGGTGTTACTAATACTTCTACTTAAATCTGAATGATCACAAACCCTAAAAGATTGCTGACTATGCAGTTAGTCTCAGAGATAACATGGACCTGAATGGGCATTTTATTTGGGGGTTAGACATAGTGTGGTGTCAAAGCTTCAATTTGGCTTTTTGTTTGTTTATGGGGTTTTTTGTTTTTATTTTTGTTTTGGGGACAGGATCCCACTCTGTTGCTCAGGTTAGAGTGTAGTAGTATCATCAGAGCTCACTGTAGCCTCCAACTCCTGGGTTCAAGCAATCCTTCTGCCTCAGCCTCCCAAGTAGGTGGGACTATAGGCACACACCAACACACCTGTCTATTTTTTCTTGTGGGTCTCGCTAAGTTGCCCAGACTGGTCTTGAACTCCTGGTCTCAAACAGTCCTCCCACTTTGGCCTCTCAAAGTGCTAGGATTACAGGCACAAGCCACCATGCCTAGCCTCAATTTGTCTTGAATTCTATTTCTAAAGTACACAGACTGCTCTAAATCATCAATAGACTTCATGTTCTTAACTGAATCCAGTGGATAGCTATTTTCTTTTATTAAGAATTGAAAGCATTTTCCTTTTTCTTTTTGTCTGAGTCAATACAGGTCACATTTGATTATTATTAATTAAAATGGCTACCATTTTCTAAGTATTGACTGTGTTTAATCTTTACAAATTCCTATGCATAAGCATGATTATTTCCCTTTCAGAGAGGGGAACTAAGGCTCAAGAATATATCCTTCTAGCAAGTAGAAAAGCTGGGCTACCAACCCAGCTTTATCTTTCCCTGTGCTTATATTTTTAACCTTACTGCTATCACATCCATTTAGCTGAAGAAAATAGAGTTCTGATACCACAAACAGCGAGGAAAGACTCCTGCTGATTTTCAGCTTTTCAGTTGGGTTTGCAGACCTGACAAAAGGGAAAAAAAATTCTGCCAGATTTGTTTTTCCATTTCCATGACCTAAGCAGGGCTGTGTTCAAGAGGTATGGAAAGAGATGCTTTGCCCTAGAGCTAACCTTGGGGCTTCTGGCAGGTTTTTCCAATGTTACTTAAAAAGCAAGGCAAGCGGAAGTGAAGTAGGGCATTGGGTAGGTGAAGCCAGGTCCTGCTGGCTTCCCCATGACAGGCTTTGTTTCCGGTTTTAATCCTGGGCAGGCCCTGCTCCGAGTAGCAGAGAGCCACATACCCTTCTCATTCTCTTCACAGGTCCAATGCACAAGGAAACTGACAAGAGTCCAATGTGACAGTTTCAGGCCTACGTGAACCAAGCCAGCAAGGAGTTTATAAAACAATGTTGGAGTTTTGGATGATGTTGAGGGAGTGTAGGGAAAACCTGACCAAAAAGATGTGAAAGATCACTAGGAGACAATGAAGACTCAGATGAGGTTGGAGACCTTGAATGGTGGTTCCAAACCATGTAGTTGTGTGAGCCTCTCCAGCAGCACCCAGCTGTCCAGGTATGGGAGGAAACAAAGGAAAGTTATCACCCTAATTTAACACTGAGGATTGCTGGATAGGTGTTGAGATAGTTAATTGTGAGATGCAGAGAGAGAAGGGATAGGGAAAGAAGGCAGGTAAGAGAGAAACTGATCATCTGGGAGAACATGGGTAAATCTAGGGTTAGAAGTCTCCACAAGGCAGAAAGATAGGTCCAAAGTGTGGTAGCTAAAAGGAGATCATGACCAGTATTCAAGATTTTCTGAGTGAAGAGGTTCCTGGGGACAATGAGTATTGTGACATAGGATTATTATATAACCAAGAGATAAAATCAAGATAATTAAAGTGTAAATGAAGATAGTTATTTTTTACGAGTTCAAGAAAGTATGAGACTGTGAGATGGGACTGGCCATCCGCATGGACACGAAGGCCCCAAAGAAGATACAGGACTTAGGATGGAGAGGAAGACTGTAAGCGAGTAGGGAAGGGACCAGAGGCACAGTATAAGACAGACAGAAGAACAAATAGTCTTACTGCCCACTGGCATGAACCTCAAAGAAGTAGGGATTTTTATAGATAAATGGAGAAAGACCCTCTTTTCTTGAGGGCAGGAACTGTAAATTTTTCATCTTTTATCCTCAGCCTCAAACACAGCATTCACAGTCCCAAACACAGTTGAATTATGTGAACAAGTAATATAAACATTTTTAATTGTGATATATATTATATTCATTATATGTATTTATATTATGTATCATTTTTATTACTATTAATCTGAGAATCCATTTTAAGGTATTTTTTCTTTAAATATAGGCACCTGATTCTATAAGTTCAAACCAAATAAGCAGAATATACATTGTATTCACCAAATGTAAGTGAAATATGGTTATTTAAAACCTAAGTGTTTTGCAAAGAAAAGTATTATTGGTCAGAACTTTTTAGCTCCTTGGCAAAACAGTTCCTGTCTTTCATCCCCATTCTGTTACGGACTGTCCTTCCAAGAGACAATTAACTATGTTAAAGTCAGGGAAGTGGCAATACTGCTGTTCAGTTAACCTAAACCAATAACAGATTGACTCAGTTAAAAACTGAATTTGATAAAAGGTATAATTTCATCTTGTTGACTATAGAGTAACAGTGTGAGATCATTACCAGGATTACTTGACACTCCAGCTCACTAAGCATCTCAGTCCTCAGAGCAAATATTGAGGCATCTTACCCTTTAACCAGGTGTCTTGCTTGAATGCTTAGACCTAACAGGGTCAGACTTGCTATCTGGCTGCAGGGTTAGAAGAAGAAAGTAAACAGATGGAGACAAGACAATTGTGCTTACTGAGCCTGGATATAAATATCATGCCACATATTTTAAACTTTGTGTGTTTATGTGACACCTAAATGAACATTTCTTAACCAAATGAAGGGGACGGGAGGCTCTATTTGAGGGGGGTGCATTCACCGGCTGTGTCGCTGCACCTAGCTCACAGAGAGGCATTTCCTTATCTTGGGATTTGGATCCATAAGGGAGAAGCATTGAATAGTAAAGGGAACATCAGCGAGCCATAGAATTTTCCATCAGAAAGGGGTCTGGGATTGTCTACCTAATCCAGCTTTTTTTCTCATTTCATAAAGGTAAAAAGGGAAGCCCAGAGATTTTTTAACAGCTTACCTAACAGTCACGTCAAGTTAATGAGAAAACTAGAATGAGAACATTAGTGTCTTGATACCTTTCAAAATACCAAAGATCAAAAATAAAAGTTCCTTCATGTTACAAAAGTCAGACAATTCTATAGCATTCATTTTAGTGCCCTCTGGATAGGTAAGCATAAAAATAAAAGTCATATTTAAAAGCATATCGAATGAGAACTGTGGGTAACTTGGCAAAACAAAAAACATGTATTTCCTCTGTGCAGGTTTCCACAGAGACACTGATACCTGGCTGGTATGTAAGGTTTGTATGAATTATTCTGATACGCTGGGTTCATCTTGGTAGTCTTACGGTGCTCTAAGTATCATCTGCCATCTATGGCATAAATAAAACTACTTTTTACCCTGAAAGGATTTATTCTTAATCCTGGGGACAAAAAGTGGCAACATAGTCTTTTTGTTAAGCAAGAGCCATTGTTATTATACTTGTCAACAAAATAGTTTTTAAATTTTTTTAAGAAAAATTAAAATAAAATATCATTAACTATAGAGTCTGACTTTTTTGTTTGTTTGTTTTTTGCTGCTTCCCTAAATAAACATCCAGAGGCTTATACCCATCTCAATAGTACCGAACAAGCAGGTAGCAAGTGCAACTACCCTACCTTGATAACCAGCACTTTTAAGTTATGATTATTTAAATTAAGTTTAACAACCCCACACCTGCCCCTCACCCTATGTCCCAAAATAAGATCGCAGCAACTTGAGCATAGAACACCATAATTACCTGGAGGTGCTGAATTTTGCTGTGGCTAATGTAGAGCCTCTTGGTGGTGGAAGGAATGCCCGACGGTACCTCCGTTAATCTGTAGCACTGCACCGACTGTGCAGAATCACAGCTACATCGTCCAGGACAGTTAGGACTGAAACCATCGCTAAGAGAGAGCAACAGAAGGCAAGCATAAAGCAGATGCATCTTCCAAAACGGGTCTCACGTAGCAGGTGGGTGTTTAGGTGATGTCTCACTTTTTATACCATGAAATCTGATAACAGAATCTTATGAATGTGTACTCTGTCAATGTAAGAAGACAGGAAAGAAAAAATTCTCAATTTGTCTGGGTTAAAATGTTAGCAACCATTACAAAGAAGAAAGGGCTTAAACATTGATAAGCTGCCTTAATATTTGTAGGTGAGCAAAACCCTATGTTATTTATGGCTTGGAAGGCTAATCTGCAAACACCTCTATTATCTGTAGTTTCCTTGTTTTGTTAAATGTGACACTAGGCAATTAGTGGGAAAACACAAAGAGCTGTTTTATAGTGGGCCATAAAACCTTTGAATTTTCTGTGACCCTATATTAAAACCATTTTTGTAGGATGGAAACAGGCAGGTGTTTTCTTCTCACGTTAAGTAGTAAGGGAAAATAGGCAGGTTTTCTATTTGTTATTGTTGTTTCAGTAACATTTTATTGCTAGAGGAAACAATGGGCTACAATGGAGAGATACTTAGAGCCACAGATAATTTGTTCAATTCATCTACCATCTGATCCACCCAAACATCATTTCTGAGAACTATTTTTGTCATTCAAAAATATTGTTGGCTCAGATAAGAACAAAACATCAAAACGGGTTGATTATTTTCATCTATTTGTAATAATGGTAGAAAGAACCTCTGGTTTCTCTGGAGGAATTTGTCAGCTGTGAAACTTCACTGACTGCAGAGGGGGAAGCTTCTCTTGTCTAGGGTTCCCCTTTGTTGTGGCTTTTTGTCTTGCCCTGGTCATCCCTGCTGAGGGCTTTGAAAGATTTTAAGCAGAAGGTTATATAGAGAAGATCTCTCCCCACAAGTGAAAAAACTTAATTTCTTCATGCTGCTGGGCCTCAGCATACTGCTCTAAAGAAACCCTTTTTAATATTGAAAAGCTTCTCTAGTCTCCTCTTCAAGCTTACCTCTCTTTGCTACAATTGCCATTTGAAGCCAAAAATATCTTTGATCTCATAATCAATTCATTTGATTTCCAGAATAAGGATTTCTGTGTGCTTTTCTCAAAAGACTTTTCTAGTCTTGTTTTCCTCTGTTTTCTTTAACTATCAGAGACAAGAGAATTGATTTCTGTTAATATTCTGACTTTCAAAATATTTTGTTATTTATTTCTTATGTCTAGTAATAGAAATTTTTTTTAATTTTTAGAATTTTCAAATATCAAAGTAATGCTCAATGAAAGAAAATTTTGAAAAAACAGCAAGGAGGCAAGAAAAGTCACTTTTAGTCCCATCTCCAAGTCAAACATATTTCCAGTTTCTTTTCTGTGCCTAGGCTTTGAAAAGACAAAGAAAAATACTTACTGAACACTTTTTTTTTTCTGAATTGCTCTAAAGGTAAATTTATATTCAGTTACTTGAAAAGAAATGCCTGCAAAATCCTATCCTCTCATCTGCCTTCAATAACAGCAAATTTTTCCATTATGCAGCACAGCAATGAGTTCTATTTTCTATCCTTTACTGGTGACCACAGGATTCTCTTTTCTTTAACTGAGCCTCGAAATTATACTGTATAATATTTTTTTCTTCTTTTCCGTGGTATTTCTATAGCTTTATTGCAATTCTAGCAATTTCTAATATTTTCCTCTGTGAATAGTTTTATTTTCTCAGGTTGTAGACATATGTAACTTTATATTCTGCTCTGTTGACTATTATAATATTTTTCCACATTATTTTATAGTCTCCATAAATATAAACTTAAATGTCTAAATAGTCCATCAAAAGTATTGTCTATAATTTAACTACTTTTTAACTATTGGATTTTTAGAGTTGTTTTCTGATTTTACCATTATAAATGTAAGTAACTTTGATCACAAAAAGTATGAAAATATTTTGAAGGACAAAACATCTATCTGTTTCCAGACCACATTTATTTATTTGTGTTAAGCTGTAAAGTCAACTTTTTTTAGCTAGAAGGCAAAGTCTTGTCAATGCTATAGCCTGCAGAGAAAGTATAATACAAATTTACAGGCTGGGTGCTTAAAGGACATGCATGTTGTATTGTACCGGCTCTGGAGGTGACCGGCCCCTTTGCATATTTATTGTGCTAGGAAGCAGCCACTGGAGCTGCCACCATCTCTCAGCCTCTAGCTTACTCTCTGTTGACTTTTGGGGTTTTCTCATGTTGACAAAGGGCCATGGGTGTAAAGTTTGGGGTTTTTGCTCTTGAGCTTGTGGGTTCCTAAGGCTAAAAGTGAAGCATGCAGTTCTTTTCTCCAAAGGATTTAATAACACTTTATCTGGTCGTTACTACTTGGCTCCTATGGGTAAGGAAAAAACAAGTAAAGGAACATGGGTGCCCTTCTCAGGTATGGAAACTCAATGACACACTCAGCAAATCTGTTCCAATTACAGCCCAAGACTCTAGGTTTAGTTTTTCAACACAAGAAAGATAGAAATCTCAAAGAATTTGTTTTGTATTTGAATTTGGATTGAATTAGATTCTTTGTTCAGACTCACAAGCCAGGGTTCTGCCCAACTTGCCTTCTTTATCTTCTTTATCTTTATTCTCTCTCTCCCTGGAAACATTTTCAATTGTCCTAAGAATGTGGGGGAAGGGAGCAGTGTTACTGCCCTCTAGTGGGTAATGGCCAGGGATGCAGCTAAAAACCATATAATGCACAAGATAGCCCCCACAACAAAGAATTATGAAGTTCCAAATGTCGATAGTCCCGCTGTTAAGTAACACTGTAATAAACACAAATGTGTACCAATATGAAATGGACATAGAGGCCTTCTTTGACTTATTAAAAGCAATGGGCAATAAATAATTGACCTAAACTCTGAAATTACCTAATATATGTAGTATCTGGGGAGCAATTACCAAAGAAGGCATATTATAGCAGAATAAAGAAATCTGCAGAAATCTCTTCTTAAGGAGTATTCCTGTTGTGCTTAAAGAAGATTTAACTTGCTTTCGGCACGTTGATGATTTTTATTACTTTCATGGGATGTCAGCACTGGAAGGAACCTACGGATAATCTAATCCATACCATCTTTCCCACTGTAGAGAGGAAACTGAATTCCAGAAAGGAAACTGATGAATGTAAATTCTCCCTGACCTGGGACTATAAGCATCAGCTCACGATTCCTATTTTTAAATTGACTGGTTAAGAGCTAAACAGAAGAGTTTTAAAAATGAAAACCTCTCTCAGATAAAAGAAATTTTAAAGAATAAAAAAATTATGTATATGATTCTTTTAAAATTTATTTGCTTCTGGAATATGTTGCATAAACTACATAAGTTTAAAGTAAAATAAAAAAATTCTACTGCTATTTAACTTGTCTAAGCCTCATTTTTATACTTCTATAGAATGAAGATAACATGAGCAAAATAATTTCCACTTTAAAGAAAGGAATAGATGAAATGAGCTAAGGCTTCTCAAGTTCATGGGCAAAAAGAAGGGTCTCAGTAAATGACAATTGTATCAGTTTGAGTTATTGGTTTCAAGCAACAGAAACAAATTCTGGCCGATTAAAGCAGAAAAGGAATTACTGAAAGAAAATTGGGTAGCCCACAGAACTGTGAGAATGCCTGGAGAACCAGAGTTGGAAATGCGCAAGAATAAAGGAAGGCTAGCCAGAAACACAGTTAAAACCACACCTCGGTCGAGTGGGGACACCACTGCTGGCTCTGTGACAGCTAGAGCACAGGCATATGAGCTAGGCTCAGCTAACCAGAATCATTCACCTGCAGAACATGGGTGCACCGGCCTCCACCAGGAATTGGATACCATCACTGGCACAGCCGCTACTGAAACTGGATGCTGCTATCTCCACTCCCAACTAAAAAGGATTCTCCTGATCACTGCTGCACTGACTTAATTGTTAAAAATTTCAGGTGAATGATTCTGGTTAGCTGAGCCAGGAAAGTGATTATCTGACATTTTCAGTTCATTATGGAAGAACGACTCTCTCTCCCACCAAGTCACAGAAGGCAGGGAATTCCCCAGAGGAAGGGCTCTTAAATATGAACAGTCGCCCGTGTGTAGGGACAAATTTTCACTAGAGGAGTCTTTTCACCCTTACTCCCTCTGCTCACCATGGCCACAAAAGCCAAATGAATTTTGAGTCACTTACAATCAATTGGTGAGAAAACAAATACCATCTCTAAAAATTGTTGTGACATGGCTTTTTATGTAATTGTCTCACTATACTTTTCTGACTTGTTAATTTAAAAGACCATAAAATTTCTAATTAGATAGCTTGTATTTTTAAATCAAAAATGCAAAGAAAAAATAATGTTAAGGGGTGCTTGGAATGAAACTGTTTGGGGGTCCTTATAGAACTAATCTATAATAAACAAATGACAGAGGCAGATGAGGGGGAGTCTATGTTTGATATCTAAAAGTCTGAAAATCTGAGAAATAAACAGTGACTTGACAGTGGATGAAAGAGGAAGAATAAATGACTAGTAAACTCTGATACCATTGTTGATAAACGGTGGTTTTAGATAATGCTGAAGCAAACCTGGAGCTATGGGAAATGGTAATGAAGAATGTTCATCAGGTAAAGTAGAAAAGCTGTTTTAGTCAGTTTTTGATAGTGTAAGGGAATACAAATATAACAACAGAGATTTTAAAATTTGGTTATATTTTGGTTTTAGGTTCGGGTATACCATATAAAATGTAATGTCTAGAAAATTTTAACTATAAATTAGGTAAAGTATTTCTTGAAGCCTAAATTATGCTGGATTTATTAGTCAAATAAGCCACATCACTGTAAAATAAACCTTTCTCTTTAGGTTTGGAAAAATATTTCTTCAGTTTTAAAGGTTAACATGTATTTTATAGCTATCCCTAATTCCAGAGACAATATAAAAATCTATTTGGCTATGCTCTCTAGTATGCATCAAAGGTATGTCTTGAAAAGTAACTGTTTTTAGAATTTCCTGTGTAGAATACTAGAATATCTTATCATGGAGATTATCCCACAAATATTATAGCATTCCTACCATATTCCAGGTCCTGTGTTAAGACCTGGGATATAAAGATATACAGTTATTGCTGCTAAGGAGTTCACAGTCTCAGGAGCTCCAAAAGAATGAGATGAATATGACAAATGCTACACCAAGTATTTGCAGGAAACTAAACAGGATGGAGTCCATAGCTTTATGTAAGGAGAAAGAAGGTTTCCTGGAAAAGAAGGTATCGGAGTTGCTCCTATTAATAAAACATTGCAACAAAATTCATGTTTGAAGAACAAAAGAGCAAACAGTTGTCCTGTTTGTTTATATAAAAGAAATAATCAGGAGAATGAGGCTAATAAATCACTTTGGAATGCCCAAACTTACTTCTTTAGAATGTCTATCTGAATTTCAAAGTGTTAGTAAATATGAGTAATAAATATAAATGATATATATGAATACAATATTCTAGAACTTTTCCACATTGCTTAAATTAATTGGAAGTGGATTCTCTTTGGCTTTCTTCATTCATCATACAACTGTTTATAGCCATCGACAGAACTTAATCCCTCTTCCTTTTCCTCGTAGGGTCACTGGAAATTCAATGAAACATGTGAAGCTTAGTACAGGGTCTGGAACACAGTAGTGTTCAATAAATGATAGTCTCCCTCTCCAGTCCCAGGTGGATTGTATTATGTCCTTTCATTACAGCGCCTTTGCAATTAATAGTGCTCTATAAATATTTGAACTATACACTAACCTCACAGCTGATTACCAGTACCTACCAAAGAAATCTTTAGCATCTTCTCCCTTTCCCCAATTTCCTATGTCCCCACACTATTTTTTCTTAGTAATACCTTGTGACAAAACTCTGTAGGGACAAGTTCCTGAATCAAGACTGTCATATTTTAAGTTATATCATATATTTTTTTAAATCTCATAAGGATGATTCATGAAACAGTTGTTGGAAGTTTCTGCCAATCCAACTGCAAATAGAAGTATCAAGAATTTATTATCTGTGGAAAAACAAACCCCACAAGTTTTTTTTTTTTTTTTTTTTTTTTTTGAGACAGAGTCTCACTCTGTTGCCCTGGCTAGAGTGAGTGCCATGGCGTCAGCCTAGCTCACAGCAACCTCAAACTCCTGGGCTCAAGCGATCCTCCTGCCTCAGCCTCCCAAGTAGCTGGGACTACAGGCATGAGCCACCATGCCCAGCTAATTTATTCTATATATAATTTTTAGTTGTCCAGATCATTTCTTTCTATTTTTTAGTAGAGACGGGGGTCTCGCTCTTGCTCAGGCTGGTCTCGAACTCCTGACCGTGAACGATCCACCCGCCTCGGCCTCCCAGAGTGCTAGGATTACAGGCGTGAGCCACCGCGCACAGCCCCCACAAGTTTTGAGATTACATACAATTGCAAAAATTCCAGAGTAGGTAAAGATAAGGCAGTAAGTGTAGATGGAGTACACCGACAACAGATGGCAGCACTTCAACATCAAGCCCTCCCTTACACTTCCATGTTTTGCTGTGACTTGAAGAACTGCAAAACCCTAAGCAAGGTGGTCAACAGATTATGTCTACACAGAGGGCACCTCACGAGCATTTGAAATAGTCATGTAGTACCAAGATGGCCAGCACGTAGGGAGGTAGCCGCTGCTACATAGTACTATAATGAGAAAAGACAACGTAACATGAAACTATTCTGAGACAGAGGGTGTGACTTGTGGGAGTTGTAAATGTAACAGGAAATGGAACTGGGTTCTGAAATCCTGAAAATGGGGCTATTCACCAATCATTAGAGCAGTGAACACATATAAACACTTAGAAAGCAGCTCAACTGCACCCCCACAACATAGCAGGAAGTTGAACGATTTTTTTTTTTAAAGAAATGAAGTTTAGGCCGGGCGCGGTGGCTCACGTCTGTAATCCTAGCACCCTGGGAGGCCGGCTGAGGCAGGTGGATCGCTCAAGGTCAGGAGTTCGAGACCAGCCTGAGCAAGAGCAAGACCCCCGTCTCTACTAAAAAATAGAAAGAAATGATCGGACAACTAAAAAAATATATATAAAAATTAGCCGGGTACGGTGGCACGTGCCTGTAGTCCCAGCTACTTGGGAGGCTGAGGCAGAAGGATCGCTTGAGCCCAGGAGTCTGAGGTTGCTGTGAGCTAGGCTGATGCCACGGCACTGTAGCCCAGGCAACAGAGCACGACTCTGTCTCAAAAAAAAAAAAAAAAAAAAGAAATGAAGTTTGTATTTGTGTGAAGTTCAGATAAACTAAAAAAAAAGAGAGAGTTGTAAGTAATAGGAAATGAGTATTACAATTATTTTTTTGGTACTGTTTCTTATATATTAGATTTGTATATGGCTTATAACTAGAAAGAATTAAAAAAAATTTGGAACTGACTTGCCAATTTATCATACTGGTAACTTATACAAGAAGAAATAAATTCCTTCAACCTTCTATATTCCATGATTAACAGCAAAGACTTTGGAGAAAAAGACACTTAAATTGAAATCCTACCTCAGTTACTTTCTAGTTTTTTGACCTTAGCAAGATACTTAGGCTCTCTGAGATTCATCTACAAAAAACTGATCATACCTACCTCAAGAATTTTGTGAGGATCAAAGAAATAAAGCAAATAGCAAAATGCCTAACACAGTAAGCACTCAATAATTGAAAGCTTTTATTATTGTGGTTCTATGTATTCCTCCCTAATTTTAACTTATTTACTTCAAGTTTCTGAAAATGCATTGTATATTATGTGTAGAGAAAGTGGCTGGGAACTTGGCAGCTGTAGCAAGTTATTGCAAATGAAAATAAAGTTAATTTTGGAAAGGAATGGGGAAAGATGCAAATTTTTGTTTCATATTATTTATTGTGTATTAAAACCTGTGTGAAGGTCCCTATTTAAGCTCAAGGCAATGATCTCATGGTTAGTTTTGCTTAGCAAAGTTTGCTGAGGCCAAAGGACTTTATTGCTTGATATTAAGCAGTCTGCCCCCACCCCCAGTACCCAGAGTGCAAACCAAAACTATGATTTCTTGCTCCTCATTGGCCTTGCATTGGTGAAGGGGCATACAGTGCAGGCTGTGGGTGGTAATTAATTGGAAGGGTCTGTCCCAGGAACAGATCACAGAAGATTTTGTACTCAGCTAGTAAAGTATTCCCCTAGGCAATGCAGGAGATACAGTTCCTACCAGCCTACTCGAATCAGACTGGTTTCTCTTTCCCTTTCCAGGACTGGCTATTCTTAAATTGGAAGGGGTTTGAGAGTGGGTAGGCAGAATGTAAAGACAGCAGTTGCTGAACACTTTCAAAGGCACCACAAAATTCAAATTTAAAGTTGTAGTTGTGAGGGTTAGCAGCCTCACTATTCTATCTCAGCTGAGTAAGGGTCATGTCTCATTTGTTTTTGCGTCCTCAATGACTCAACAGGGCTCTGCATTCAATATATTTATAAATATATGAAGCTTCATAATTTTGTTTTTCTGAAATGTCACGTGTGGGGACACTTCCAATTTTTGAAACAATTGTACCTTTTAAAGTACAGTCATGTGCTGCATAAAGGTGTTTCAGTCAATGACAGACCACATATGATGGTGGTCTCATAAGATTATAATACCATATTTTTACTGTACCTTTTCTCTGTTTACCTATGTTTAGATACACGAATACTTACCATTGTGTTACAGTTGCCTACAGTATTCAGCATAGTAACACATTGTACAGGTTTGTAGCCTGGAAGCAGTAGGCTACACCATAGAGCCTAAGTGTGTAGTAGGCCATACCACCTATGTTTGTGTAAATACACTCTGTTGTTCGCACAAGGACGAAATTGCCTTGATCATATCCCCCACGCCCCGGGCTGTAATTGCTTTATAGATGTATGATCTGTGGTGTGGTAAGAGGAATATCATGTGCTAAGCACTGATGCTAAGCAATTTACCTTACTACTGAGTGAAGTAAATTTTGGAAACTAGGCTTCCAAGTGACATAATACAACCAAGGTGGCACAGTTAAGTACGTGACATGGTGTAAGACATGAATCCAGGCCTACCTGACTCTTAATGACAAGACAAAAAGTCTTCTATTAACTCAGCAAAATCTGGTCAGCCATTTCAACGTATAGCTTTAGGCAGTTTCTATCTGGAATTTAGGGTCCAGTTTACCAAGAACAGCCGGTGTGTCCACCCACTCCACCCTATGCGGGAACTGGAACGGAAAAGGTACAACGTGGCTATTGCGCATGCTCACACCGCCCTTCCTCGCTCTCCCCTGCCTGGACTCCACCGCAGCAACTTTCCGGACGACTTTAGAACGGCTTCCGCCCACTGTGAAGTCAAACTGGCGGAAACCCTTTCTTTCTGCAACGTGGACACCCTTCTCTTCCTAGGGCCTCTCCAACTTGGAAGCACAAACCACGCGCCTCCCTTTTTCAGGGACTCAAGCTTGCAATTTGTCAGTTGTCAATATGGCCGCAGACAGGCCGGTGCCAAGCGAGGCCTCTCATAGGCCCAGGTCACATCCTGGCCCCGCCCACTTCGTCTCTCTGGGCTACGTCCGCCCAGCTCTTCGGTACGCATGCGCAGCGGGGGCGGGCCGGGAGGTGGGACCGACCGAGACTTCCGTGTGCCGCCGCAGCCGCCGCCTGAGCGTCGCTGCAGCTGCCCCCGTGGGGTTGTATTGCCGGCGTTAGCTGCGCGAGGGAAGCGAGGGGACCGACGAAACGTGCGTGCGTGCGCGGGGTTCCCCGCAGTCCCAGCAGTTCCCCTCGCGCCGGGTGGGCGGCGAGGGTCAGCCGCAGTGGGGGGAAGCCCTAGACGGCGCCATGTCGGCGGGCGGCCCATGCCCGGCGGGAGCCGGAGGGGGCCCAGGGGGCGCCTCCTGTGCCGTGGGGGTCTCCCCCGGCGGGGTGTCCATGTTCCGGTGGCTGGAGGTGCTGGAGAAGGAGTTCGACAAGGCCTTCGTGGATGTAGATCTGCTCCTGGGCGAGATCGATCCGGACCAAGCGGACATCACTTACGAGGGGCGACAGAAGATGACCAGCCTGAGCTCATGCTTTGCACAGCTTTGCCACAAAGCCCAGACTGTGTCCCAAATCAACCACAAGCTAGAGGTGAGCCGTGGGCGCTGGCGGGGGTGGCATTCAACCCCAGGCTGCCCGGTGGCGTCAGATCCCATTTAACGCACCAGTGGAACGACCCTAGAAAACTGCTCATTGGGGCATTTGGGCTTTGAATGTGATGGGAGAGTGCGTGTGTATGTGTGCTAAGGAAAGGGGTGAGGTGAGGTTGCGGGAGAAAAAGGGGTGTAGACCGACCTGTGGGTCTCCCGGATCCTGTCATCCACCTTCCTAGTATCTCACTGGGGAGAAAACAAACTAATTACACTAGCCCTCCTGTACATGTTACATTAGCAAACCTAACAAAGATTCTGTCATGAAAATCCCGTAGCCAAACCTTTTGACATTTGAGTTTTGCAGATCTACTTTCACATTAATAAAGCAGAGTTGTGTGTTTTCAGACAGATACAGTCTTGATTATTTCTATTGTAACTAACACAGGTTAGACTCTGTGGTTGCACACGGAAACATGCAGGAACTATTTAGGAGAATCTGATCAAAGCTTTTAGGAAAATTTAGTGGAATGCATAAGACAGTATTAATATCATTGTCTTTCTTGGTTTATATCCACAGTTAGTCCTTAAATTACAGGCAGATACCTGCATAGCTCCCTACAATTATTCAAATGACTTCTAACATTGAGGTCTTATGTGTTTGTACTTTACTATATTTCCCAAAGTCTGGATTTATTTTCGAGAGCATGTAAAGAATAATCATTCGCATTAGTCTCTAATTCTGGGTATGGGTGAGGGTGGAGTAGTGGTGAGTCCAAAAAAAACCTACCACATTGTGCAGAAAATTAAATTAGGACATTATTACAATATTTAAAAATCATGATAGAGCACTTTCTAACTAGGCAATGTAAATAAGAGAATGGGTCTTTCATTTTAAAGTAGATAAAAATGGGGTAATGAGTGATGTGCAAAGCTCTTTGAACATTGGCTTTCCAAAGAAATCATTATTGCTGCTAGTTGTAATTGAGAGCGCCCATTGTATCAAAACCAACATGAATGTCAGATATGCATCTTCTCCTGCTTAGTGGTCAGCATTCTTTCTCTCCTATTAGTTAGCCATAAATATATGATATAATTAATCTTCGATTAGTATAGGTTTACATATCCAGGATTTTGTGGCACTTCTCCACAGAAAGGACTCTTAATTTCTTCCATCCTTTTTGAAAAGTTTGGAATGAAAGTGCTGACATGACCATAATCACTTCTTATTGTGAGTAAATGAAAATATCTCTCCATTTTTGGATTAGTGGTAATTTCCAAAAGATTACTATTTTTTCAGGTGGTGAAATTGCATTTGATGGTTTTTAGAAATAGTATGTTAGCTTTAAACATCAAAGATCGAGAATAGCTTTTGCCACATGCTATGGTTTGAATGTGTCCCCCAAATTTCGTGTGTTAGAAACTTAAACCCCAGTGTGGCGCTATTGAAATTATTGAATCCCCAATATGAGGCCTTTAAGAAATGATTGGTGAATGGATTAATCCATGCATGGATTAATGGGTTATCAGGGTAAGGGATTAGTGGGTTATCATGTGAGTGGAACTAGTGGCTTTATAAGAAGAGGAAGAGAGATCTGAGCAAACATGTTAGCACGTTCACTCGCCTTGCACAGAGCCGCCACCAACGAGGCAGCTCTCACCAGATGCGGCCCCTTGAAGTTGGACTTCTTTGCCTTCATAATTGTAAGAAATAAATTCCTTTTTTTAATAAATTACCCAGTTTCAGATATTCTGTTATAAGCGACAGAAAATGGACTAAAACACCACATGAAAATATTCATATCATTTACAACTGCAAGTATCTACTGGGGATAAACAGCTTTCTAAAAATGAAACAATATCTTATATATTTTTAAAATGACCTAAGGAAACTTTAAACATTGATTTTTTTTTTTTTTTGATGTCAGAAATAAAAGCTAAATTTGGAGAAAGGATCATTCTTTGAGTAGGAGGTGGTGCTCAGTTTTTTTTGTCTTTAAATATTTTGGATGAGTATTCAAAGTTGTAATAAATTATACATGTTCTTTTTTTCAGAAATTATAATTACATATTCTGAGTCCAAATCCTGGTTTAGAAGGTCACATTATTTTTCAAAATAAGAAATGCTATCACAATGTAAGCATGTTTTTTCAACATACTTAAAACCCTTGATTTGAAGATCTTAGAACATGGGCGAGAGAGACATAACGTGATTTTTTGCTTGTGTGTTTTTTCAGTTACAGTTGACTTTTCTGTCTTTGGTGTTAATATTTATACATTTAGCAGTTTCTAAAGTTTTCATGGAGTCAGTTGTATATTGCTATGGAAGGAGGTTCATTGTCAGCACTGCCTTACAAAGTAGAACTGCTGCTGTACCATTTGCAGAATTTTAGGGGTTGCTCCATATACTATTATCAATCTTCTGAGATCTTGAAACCTTAGAAAAAATTTTCATACTTTCTTGCTCTATTTTATTCCTTAGTAAGCAAATTAAATTAGTTCTATTGTTTTAATTATATGGGCATTAAGACATATATTTGAGGCCACTTATGGTTTGATATAACAAATATGTGGCAAAGCACTGTGGTTTTAGGGACATATTACCATAATAAAATATTTTTATGTAATCAAGATATAGAGACCTCCAGTGTGGGTAATTTATAATATATTTAAATTGGTCTTGAGTATTTTTCCAGATTGCCCCTTCTTCTGCCCAGTCCTTCTGTAGGTAACACCATGTTTAATATTAATATTGAACTTACAGCTAGAAAAACTATTTTGCTACCTAAAAAAATCATAGGTTACATTTTTTTAATTTGAATAGGCTGTGGGGCCATTTTTGTTATTTTTAATTGACACAATAATTTGCATGGTGTAGTATTTCAATACAGTGTATACAATGTGTAATGATCAAATCAGGGTAATTAGCATTTCCATCACTAACATTTATCGTGTCTTTGTGTTAGAAACAAGTCAAAATCTTCTCTTCTAGCTATTTGAAAATATACAACAAATTATTGTTAACTGTAGTTACCTTACAGTGCTGTAGAACACTAGAACTTATTTATCCTATCTGGCTGTAATTTTGTATCTGTTAACCAACCTCTTCCTATCCCTCTTTCACCCTTCCCCACCTCCACTAACACTGTTCTATTTTCTACTTCTATGAGATAACTTTTCTGGCTTTCTCGTATGAGTGAGAACATGCATCTTTCTATGCTTGACTTATTTCACTTAACATACTGCCCTCCAGGCTCATCCATGTTGCCGTGAATGACAGGATTTCATTCTTTTTTATGGCTGGGTAGTATTCCATATATACACCACATTTTCTTTATTTGTTCATCTGTTATGGACACTTAGGTTGATTCCATATCTTAGGCATTGTGAATAGTGCTGCATGGGAGTACAGATATTTCTTGACATACTGATTTCCTTTTCTTTTGGGGATATATACAGTAGTGGGATTGCTGGATCATATGGTAGTTCTGTTTTGAGTTTTTTGAGGATATAGATTACGTTTTTAAATTATATATAAATGACATCCACATGACTACTTCTTGCCATAAGTGATATTTGGGAAGAGTCATATCTAAGGAAAAGGGAATGGCAGAGGATATCAGAGTATTTTGAGGTGGTGCCATTTTCAAAGTACTTACATCTCTCTTGTAGTTCCTACCTGCTTGAGAATTGCTGCTATGGTGAGCCACCTGGTGATGGCTATGCTGGAGTTACAGGCATTGATTGGGATGGTAGTAGTAGTGTGGGGGAAAAAAAGAAGAAAAGAAACTTTATCTAAAGAATGTAATTCCCTTTGAATTGTCAGGCCCAGACAGATTTTAGAATCAAATAGCAGTAATGTCACTTCCCCTTGCACTAAATAATTATCTCTTTTTTTTTTTGAGACAGAGTGTCACTCTGTTGCCTGGGCTAGAGTACGATGGCATCAGCCTAGCTCACAGCAACCTCAAACTCCTGGGCTCAAGCGATCCTTCTGCCTCAGCCTCCCGAGTAGCTGGGACTACAGACATGTGCCACCATTCCCGGCTAATTTTTTCTATATATTTATATTTTTAGATGTCCAAGTAATTTCTTTCTATTTTTTATTAGAAACCGGGATCTCCCTCTTGCTCAGGCTGGTCGCAAACTCCTGAGCTCAAACAATCCGCCCGCCTCGGCCTCGCAGAGAGCTAGGATTACAGGCGTGAGCCACCGCACACAGCCAATAATTATCTCTTGAAGCCACCTGCTATGTGGGCTTCAGACTGATGCCAAGTAGCCATAAAATTCCATATGCTGGACACCATAACTTGTAACCTGTAGTTCCACAGTGTATAGCTAGTCACTAATCAATGTTATTTCTGTAAACTAATGAGAATTTCTGTCAAACAACTTTGTATCAGCTCACCCCTTGTTCCCTGTTACCTTTAAAAACCTATTCTTAACACAGGCTGCCAAAGCACTCTCCCAAGGCAACTGGCAAGAGTGTCCTGAACAGCTGTCCTCGTTTTGGCTCAAGCAAACTCTTTAAATTATATATTTGTGCCTCAGCCTCTTTGTTTTAAGTCGACAGCAGCAGCAGTAGTAGTAGTAGTAGTAGCAGTAGTAGTAGCAGCAGCAGCAGTAGGTGTGCTGGAGTAGAACAAAAGTTGTGAACCAGTATACTTTGGAAAACTCACCTCCCTGCCTTGAAATACATCGTTCTGCGTGTTCACTCCTTCTTTAAAATAACGGCACAACAATACAGTTTCTATCACACCTTCCTTCCTTTCAGCAATAGCTGAATTAATATCTCCTTAAAGTGATTTGCTGTTCACAACCATCAGTAGAGGAACTTTTAACTTTGATCTAGAGCCACATTGATAATGAACTAGTGATGTACTTGTCCTTGTGCTACTTTAAATCTGTCCTGTTTTTAAACAGGCTATTTTGCAACATTGAAGTTAAAGTTTAATATTGATTTAGTATATCCTTATGAATACTAATTATGTGCCAGATGCT